CTGCATCTATTTTCCCACTCCCTTTTTGTTATCTGGGGGACAACGCGCACCTTTGCGGGGGATCGCCTCACAAGTCTCTGTTCGTTCCTATACTGAGTACCACCGTCTGCTGAACCGTCAGAGTTCGGAGTGTCGGCCTTGCTCCATTCCAGGTACGTACGCATTTCACACGCCTCGAGCAAAACGCGTGCCGACCTGTCATTTTTAAATCCGTTCAGCCAGTCCCCCCCCCCCCCCCCCCCCCCCCCCCCCCCCCCCCCCCCCCCCCCCCCCCCCCCCCCCCCCCCCCCCCCCGACCTGAGCCCTACCCCTCGAGGGTCAGCCTCACGAATCATCTGGGTCCGGAAAGTCGATGCATCGAGTTTGCTAACAGCTCTATTGTACATGTAGTCGTCGAGCATGGCTTTCCCGAACACACTTAGTGGACGTATGGAAGAACTGCGCTTTCCCAGCCTGCGGTCCCCGGACGCCGAGAGCCCATACAGTTCGAATGGCTCTTCTACACGAGAACAAAATCCATTCTTCTCAAACATGCACTCTTCGTCCAACGATGCCCGTGCAAGCCTCCAACGTCGCTTCACAACAGACTCGAGTAAGATGCCTGTGGCCAGACCGTTTGGTCAGCAATATACGTCCATGAATTCAGCGGCGGTATGTCACCTTTTCTGTACAACGCTTAGTGTGATGTCAGGCTGTGATGTTTGAGAAAGGAAACAATAGGACATTGTGGAGCCAAGTCCTGGTTGTGAAGTGAATTTTGGTCTCAGATCTTCTAAACACCGCTGGCAAAACCATGATCCTTCGTTTGTCACGATCTCTTCTACAATTTACACTATCCAACAACTTTTACACATCTCTTTTCCTTGAACGCAAAACTTCTGGTTATCATCATGGCTGACAACGATCCACAACAGGCGAAGAACAAACAAATGTACGATGATATTCAGAATGCGAAGCGTAAGGCGGAGGAGCAGTTGCGGCTCCTGGAGCTACAAGAACGGAGCCTTCAGATGGGAGCCTCTACTCAAGACCTTGAGCGGATCTCTACCCGTATGAATCGAATCAGCCTCAACGGACCTGTCAGCGAGCCCACCACCCCTCCTGAGTATGCGGAAAGTGGTTTCAGCAATCGGTTCTCGCGCTCTAGCAGACTGTCTATGAACAGTATCATTTCACCCCCAGGTCTCAGCAAGCGAGTCTCTCAATCTAGCTCTCAAGTCACCTCACCCCCAGCAAATCGGCTATCGGGGAACGGCATTTACAGTCAAGCTCAGAAACCATCTGCGAAATCAGTGCCCGGATCTCGACGAGGGTCTGATGAGGACGAATATTATCCCGAGGACTTGCCTACCACTCGAGCTGCTGCTACGTAAGTTGACTGGAAGTTTCAGTTCATCCTCACCTTCCCCTGGTCTACCTTCTCCTGTAATAGTCTTCCCAGAAGCACGTGAATAAGGCTTCACTTTTTCATCTCACCTCGCTTCACCGCTTGGCGACAAATCACGCTACTTTTTGATCCATTCAACTCATCGCCTATCTACCTCACTGCTCTTTGTCATTATTAAGGAGAACAAGCCTCTAACCTCTTTGACCTCCAGGTTAAATCGCTTCTCTATGCCAGTCAACAGCAGTCGTCATCCCCAACGCCTCAGTGTCGGTGGCACTGGTGCCAATTCATTTGGTCTTGCAAACACCACCAGCTTTCTCTTTGACGAAGACGATGATAAACTGCACCCACTTGACTTGACTTCCCCTATTGCAAAGGCCTTTGCGCAGCTTGAGGGTGACGACACGTTCCCAACGTTGACCAGTGACGGCCTCAAGGTATGTTATTCACCTCACTGCTCTTCCAGGCATGAGCTCACTCTTTATCAAAGCTTTCTGCAAACTCAGCTGCTTTGGATCTCGCAAATTCCAAGACGCCGGATCTTGACTGGACTCTTGGATCTCGCTACAGACCAGCCCATCAGAGCATGCCTCATACAGACTCTTCCATGTACAGACCTGTTCTTGCCAATCTCAACCTCAGCAGCCCACCTGCAGACCGTCCAGCAGATCTGACGCGTCGCAAGTCTCAGCGTCATTCACTCGGAGTCACCTTTGAAGATTCTGCCCCTATCCCTGCAAATTTGACCGTCTCTCGGCCCACATCTCTCCAAACTTCTTATTCAACCAACGACGTCCCAACAGTCAAGAAGTCGCTGACTTTGGACACAGCTCCCACGCCTCCCAAGACTCAGGCTGAGCAACAGTTTCATAACCACAACGTCAGTTTGGGACGCATTCCTGCTAACGCAGTCAACAACCGTCAGAGTCGAGAAGTTGCCAACGGATCTGTCAAGCTAGAAGACAAAGTCATGTCCTCTACAGCCCCGCTGTCAAGCTTGCACGCCAGTGCAGCGCCATTCAGCACATCTTTCACCAGTACCTCAGATTCCAACGTGATGGCCTTGGCGAGCCCAACCTCGACGTACCCACCTCCGCAACCCTACATGTACAATATGCAAACCTTCAACGTCAACCAGATGAATCCCCAGGCCCCCGCTGCCGGAACCGTCCAGCCCTTTGGCCAGGCTCAGGGGATCTATGGTGTGAGCAATACGTATTCCGGCCCGCAGCGTTCTGGCACTGGTCGTCGCAACCACGGTGATGAAGCTCGATTCAACAATGTTCCTCTCGAGTCTTACCGAGGAAATCTGTATGAGCTCTGCAAGGACCAACATGGATGTCGCTACCTCCAGCGCAAACTTGAAGACGGCAACGAGGAGCATATCCAAGCCATCTTTGTGGAAACTTGTCCTCATATCATCGAACTGATGACTGATCCCTTCGGCAACTACCTCTGCCAGAAGTTGTTCGAACATTGTAACGAGGAGCAGCGAACCACTTTGATCAACACTGCTGCACCAGCTCTGGCGACTATTGCTCTTAACCAACACGGAACCCGTGCCCTACAGAAGATGATTGAATTCGTTCATACTCCATCCCAAGTCGATACCATCATCCAAGCACTGTCTCCCCGTGTTGTCGAGCTGGTCCAGGACTTGAATGGCAACCACGTGGTCCAGAAATGCCTCACTCGTCTAGGCGCCGAACGTTCTCAGTTCATCTATGATGCAGTTGGCAACTTCTGTGTCATTGTTGGCACTCATCGTCACGGATGCTGTGTGCTGCAGCGCTGCATCGATCACGCTCAGGGCTTTCAGCGGGCTCAGCTCATCGCCAGGATCACCCACTGTGCCTTTGACCTCGTCCAGGACCCATTTGGAAATTACGTTGTGCAGTACATTCTCGATCTGGATGAAGCTGCGTTCACGAAGCCGCTGTGTGAAAATTTCTATGGCCGGGTTCCAGCCTTGTCGAAGCAAAAATTCAGCTCCAATGTCATTGAAAAGTGCTTGCGCACTGCCGACACGGACACCAAGAGAGCCATGATCGAAGAGATGCTGATGGGGAATGAGCTTGAGAAAATGCTCCGCGATTCCTTCGCCAACTACGTGGTCCAGACCGCCATGGAGTATGCGGATCCTACCACCAAGATGCGTCTCGTTGATGCCATTCGTCCTATTCTTCCCCTCATCAAGCAAACTCCTCACGGCCGACGAATCGCCAGCAAGATTCTTGGTAACGATGTGCCAGGTCGTGGCAACGCGCCTGCTAATGATAATATCCTCGCAAGTTTCAACACTGGCCGCGCGAACGGCCGCCGCAATGTTCAGATTGTGGGTGGCGGCTTCAACGGCATTCGCACTGCCGACACCTATGGTTCTGCTGATATTTCAAACAATGTCACTGCTAATGGAAATACCTATGGTTTGATGGATTCAACTGGCAACATGTACAACGCCCACAATTACGGCAATGATCTCGGGCCAAACGGTTATGCTGGCTTCATCAATGGTTCAGTTGGCGGTCCCAACAATGTCATCTGATGATTTGGCTCCGGCACCGAGACTCTCGACACGCTTACGAGTCACGAAATGATGAAAATTTGAAGATTCCTTTCTGCAAACGCATTCCTAGATCTGTGGCCTGCGTCGCCTCATCTTCATGCGTGCTTTTTCTTACGACTGTACCAATCGACACCACCAAAAAAAGCGTTCGAATTCTTAACGACACAAACATTCCACGGCCCTCACCTGTATTATGCTCAAAAAAAGGCTATTCATTGGTCCAGCATCAGTCTGGCAGGAGATCGAAGACTCATGGCGAGTTTTGGAAAAAACCTAGAGCTCTTGCATGAATGATGGCTTGGTTACCCTTTTCTTTTCTGTCCCACGGGTATGCAAGTTGGGAGGGTTAGGAGATATTTCTTTCGTGTGCATTTCTGGACAAAAAACTTGATTGGGAAAATACCAAAAAAAAAAAAAAAACACATGTGTCATTCAAGCAAGCATGGTACCGACACCATCGTCTTGTATTCACGAGCATTGACTGGGAACTGGCGAAATGTTTCATTTCTACACAGAGATGGTATTGCTCATTTTGGAAAGCAATGGATGCCTGACTGTGATGCCGTGGAGGAATGGTCTATGTACTCAACACAGCCAAGGTCTCATTTTGGCTATGTCTTTCTCAAGGGAATGCAGAGCCTGTACCATCAAACAGAGACTAGACTCGATAGCTAGAAGCAATTGTATCTTAGACGAAATCCTGGTCCTTTTAGAGTGTGCATAGCTTTAGGAGGGTTTCGTGCGACGGTTGAATGTGGTCACCCTTGATTTGTACTGCACACCGTGGCGATGAACGATAACAGTAGCTACCAGCAGCTTCGTAGAAATGAATGAACCATGTAGTCTACGAGCTGCTGTGCTCAGGCCCTTTTGCGGCGGCTGCGGCACTGACAGACTTGTACCACCAGTGCCTCTCCTCACCTCCTTAATGTGTGGGGAAGCGCGTACAGATTCACGACGCGCTCAAAGTGCTCGGTAGACTTGAGGCGAACATTCGACAGGAAGACGACTCGACGCAGCACCACCCTATCACAGTTGCCAGAGACTATGGTGGCTTTATCACTACATTCGATCCTGCAGAAATGTCCTTGCCGGAAGCCGCAGATCCAAGAACTTGCAACATACTACAATGTGAGTTGAACTGAACTTGTCCTCGTCGCAAATAAATGTAGGATTCGATCCAAGGGCGAGATCAACTTTCTGACTCGAGAGACCTAACGCAGGATATCTTCCCCAGCCCTTCCGTCCTCGTCGCTTACGGCCTCGAAAGCACAAGCAAGACCACAGCCATTGTCGAAGTGCTGAGATGGAGAGAAATTCCGCACGGAATCGTCAAGAGTAGGGAGTGTCTCTCGCAGCGGCACCTGCTGTCCAAGATCTTTGCGGTGTGCGTCGCGGCCTTGGGACGGGAACAGGGACAGGGACAGGAGAACCAGACGGGACAGCAGTTCGACAGGACGGACAGCATCAACGCACTGGTGGGGAACTTGCGCAGGCTGTTCGAACGGGTCGTGGTGGACTCGAAGAGCAACCAGAAGAACAAGTTCGTGGCGGTGATTGAGGACGCGGATGCGCTGAGACAACCGGGCCCAACACTGCTCCCTGCATTGGCACGGCTGGGAGATGTGGTATGTTAAAGACGAACTTACAAACGAGTTCTTGGATGAGTGATTTATTGAGCGAGCGAGCGAGTTACACCTCAAGCTAACTTGATGCCCTGTCTGACAGATCCCTGGGTTTTCAGTCATACTGACCTCGAGCTCCCCGCGACCTCTCAACCTGCACAAGACCGGGGTGCCGTGCGTCCACTTCCCGCCCTACACACGCTCCGAAGCCATCTCGATCATCGTCTCTGCCCAACCGACCACGCCTTCACTCTCGCACTCAGCCTTAGCCTCGTCGTCAGGCACTTCCACCTCCACCACCGAGACCGACCAGCAGCAGCACGCCGCGCTCCTGTCGAAGATATACGCCCAGTTCGCGGTGACGGTGTACGACACCCTGATATCCTCGACGTCGTCGACATCCATAGACACCTTCCGGCTGGCCTGTGAGAGGCTGTGGCCGCGGTTCATCGAGCCCATCGTGTCTGGCGAGGAACCACCGGCGAGAGCCAAATCGTGGGACTTTGCGAGATTACTGGTGCGGAATCGTGGTCTGTTTCGATCAGAGGGAGAGGATGCGTTGCATAACACGTTTCCAAGGACCCCGTTAGACTCGAGCAAATCTGCAGCATCGAGAGAATCCGCCTCAAAACCGTGGCTATCACAAACATCATCATCTTCTTCTTCTATAACGCGGCCATCCCTCCTGAAGCGTTTCCCGACCCTTGTCCTCCTCTCAGCCTACCTCGCAAGCCATACGCTACCTAAACATGATATCCTGCTCTTCTCCCGCTTAAGCGCCACGTCCAGCTCGATCAGCAAGAAAATTCGCAGACTGAGGCAGACGCCGACAAAGAGGAAAACAACATCTACCCCGAGCGGGACGCCAACAAAGGACGCCACAACCCCCACCAAATCGCGCAACAAGTCTTTGCTTGCCGCAGGGGCGAATCTGGGCATGCCACGGCCATTCACACTTGAGAGGCTCGTCGCGATCCTGCGTGCGATCCACCCCCAAGGTATCCCCAATCGGCCAGGTCGTGGCGTGAGCGATCGGATATACCGTGAGCTTGGAGAGTTGGAAAGACTCAGACTCGTTGTACGGTCGTCTGGATCCGGCGCGGCGACTGGGGCTGGAGGGACGGGTGACGACGCAGGAGACGAGAAGTGGCGGGTCAACGTAGGTAGAGAATGGGTTGTGAATATGGGACACGTGTGGGGGATGGGAGTTAGTGAGTACGAGATAGACCCAGACTCGTAGTGCCACAGACATCTTGTCACCACCATCCACGGAGAAAATCTAGGGACCCTGCAAGCAAGTACCCGTAATTCGTCCCTCCGCTCCGCTCGATATCCCATGGGTAACAGTAGGGGCACATTGCTCCCCGCGTCGCCGCCTCCGATCTGCGAAAGGCGTGCACTTCCTCATGGAGCATCTTTGGCCAATTCCTTTGTAACACGTTGTGTATTGACAAGAGATGACCAGGTTCGAGGTGACGCCTCAGTCCTGGCCGTCTTCCACGCCCGTGCCCTGCGGGGTCCATTCGGTAATGACCCCGTCGCAGGAGACGAAGATGCTCTTTGGGCCGTCCCTGACGCGGGCGATGGCGACACAGGCGACGGAGGACTCGAAGCGGTGGTTGTTCAGCGGACCCGGGAGCATGCGGCCCGTGCTGGCCGACCAGAGGGCGACGCAGTTGTTCTTGTAGCCGTCGGTCGAGGTGCGCAGCACGATGTTGAGCTCCGGATCGTACGCGAAGCTCACGCCGTACCAGCTGTGCTGGTGGGTTTCAGGGACGTTGAAGGTCAGCACGGCGGGGCTTGCTTTGTACGTGTTTGCCCGGGGCAAGTGGCTCTTCAGGGTCGGTGGCGGCGCGAAGCGCAGATCGTAGATCTTCACACTGCGCTGGCCGCTGATCAGGATCCGGTTGCCGTCAGGGAGCGCTGCGAGGTTGGTGACGGCGTCTGAGTGTTGGAGCCGCGTCGCCGTCGTTCGGCCGCCCTTGGTCGACGGCGGCGGTGCCCGGATGTCGCACAACAGCAGTTTTCCTGAACGCGCACCGCCCATGATGACGTTGTGGTCCTTGAAGGTCGCCCTCAGCAGCTCATTTGTGCCCATCGGGTATTCTATGAGCGGGTAGCTCGTATGCGAAAGGTCCATGAGGTATACACCGCGCTCCGTCGCCACCGCCGCCGTGTACCTGCCCGGCTGTGCAGCCAGGTTCCGTACGGTGCGTACCAGTGACGCTTGGTGAATCATGCTGTGTCTGTCCGCAAATGGGCCGGAACCACATGCTCCCACCTTGACCATCGCCTCCGCAGGGGATGCATATGCAGTGCAGTACTCGGACCAAAGGACCAGGCCTGACCCCATGGAAAGGATATGCTGGGTCCTAATTGCGTCTCCAATGTCCTCGGCATTTCTGGGCGTGTACAGTGCGCTCTGTTCATAGTTTCGCGGGATGGGCCATTTTGAAGAGTCTACCAGTTCTTGCTCCGCCACGTCAAGTTGCGATCCCAGGTGAAAACCATACATGTGCGTTCGAGAAGCCGCCCTGATCCCCGTACTCAAGATACAATCTGTAAACAAGGTGCCTGAAGCTTCCTCGATAGAAAAGCACCCAGAAATCAGCATGTTTTCGTTCAGGTAGTCTCCCCTCAGCTTCGAGCGTGGCGGGAAGTCACTAAAGGCTATTGTATCCGTGAGTTGAGCGGCGTAGTATTCCGACACCAGTGCTCCAGCAGTCTTCCGCATATTGCCTAGTCGTCTGTCAAATACCAGCAGAGGATGCTGCAAGAGTCTCGACCGCGTCACCGTCTGGGTAAGCTTCAACTGGTGTTGAAGTTCATCCTGCTGTTGGGCTTTCCTGATTATCTTCTCGGTTCTGACCGCCTGACGACTGTACTTCGAACCCGATGGAGCTACGTGATTTGGCTGGATTTTGAAGTAACGGTTCTTTTCGGCATCGAAATAGTATCCGGGCAATTCGGCCGGCATGATGTGGTAATCTGGAGATACCGGGACTTTCTGCCTCAGATATGGTTGATAGCGATCACTGGAATTAGCGAGGCAACCACGGCGGATCGTCAGCAGATGTCACTAGGACCCAAGGCGCTCGAGATATCTCTGACCATCATCTAGAGACACCAGTGCCAGCAAACAGCGATATGTACGCAAACGTAGTTGAGCAGGGAAAGAGCATGAAATGAAACAAGAGTTGCTCTGCAAAGCTATAAAACATGTGGTCACAAAACGCAGCGGGCAGGCAGATACCAAAAAGGGAAAGGCGCAGCCTCGCAAGGCTTCCCGGCCAAGGAGTGATTTCGGTGTGAATTGCAACAATCGCAAGGACAATCTTAATTTTTGACTCTTGATTGAATGTGAAAACATAATTGTTGCTGTTCCGTGCCGAAGTAGCCGCTTGAATCGAGTGTAGCCGCCTCGTCGTCGACATTACACCCGGTTTGAACCCAACCGAACCTCCAGTGCCAGTCTCTAATATGTATACGAGCGTCAAGAGCATCGACCTCTACTTGTTCAGCCACTCAAGATCTGTCCCCAAACTTATGGAGCCGCTTGACCATCAATCACATCCACCAACTCCGCTCCTACCCCTTTACTCATCGCTGACACTCGCAAATTTCTCGCTCATCTGCTGTAACAATCGGTCATACTTGCCACTGACTTCCTCCTGATCATCCGGCAGCTCGAACTTCATGCTTCTCAAGCCATGCTGGATCTCCGACGTGGCCTCCCTTACTTTCGCCCAGCTCAGTCCACTGCTGACGGCTTTTTGTGCCTCGTCGTGGAACTGCATAAACGCCTTCATCATGTATTCAGTCTTCCAGAGGGGACAGAATTGATCGTAGTCACTGTATCCGTTTTGTTGAAGGAAGTCGTCTTTGAGCATGGCCGCGACGTCGAGAATGATCTTGTCTGAGTCGCCAAGGGCCGATTTACCCACAAGTTGGACAACTTGGTCGAGGTCTTCGGAGTTTGTGAGGAGTTCTTTGATGCGGTCCCTCAGACGAGGGAACTCAGGGTGGTCTTTGGCGTAGAATTTATCGAGAATGTTAGTGTACTTGCTGTATGACAGAGAGGTATTGACGCTAGGGAAGTGTTTCCTCTGTGCGAGTTTCTTGTCGAGCCCCCAAAAGACTTGGACGATACCCAATGTGGCAGACGTGACTGGATCAGAGAAATCTCCTCCCGGCGGTGACACGGCCCCGACAATGGAGATACTACCATTGCGTTCAGGAGAGCCTAGAGCGGTGGCAGCACCTGCACGTTCATAGAACGAGGCCAGCTTCGCAGACAGATACGCCGGGAAACCTTGATCCGCAGGCATCTCTCCCAGTCGCCCAGAGATCTCACGTAGCGCTTCAGCCCATCGAGAGGATGAGTCCGCCATCATCGCTACCGCCTTGCCCTGATCGCGGAAATATTCAGCTACTGTAATTCCGGTGTAGATGGAAGCCTCGCGAGCTGCGACGGGCATGTTGGAAGTATTGGCAATCAAACAAGTTCGCTTCATGATGGGCTCCTTGCGACCGTCGATGGTGATGGATAGTTCGGGGAAGTCCATCAGGACTTCGGCCATCTCATTGCCTCTTTCGCCACAGTTGTGCACGAGCATCAAGTTACCCAGGAGGAATTGATGGTCGGAATCGTCGGGCAAAGTGATGCCATAGTAGGGAGCAGCTGGTTTCTTGACGACATCGAAGTAGACGGGTTGGGCCTTGCGCTCAACACTTGTTGGGGCGGCAGTTCTGTTGCTTGAGAGAGCACATTTGCTCAGGACTGATTCAAGGATTCCAGTGGCAGTCATGTAAACACAGAAGGCCTTCTCCTCTCCAGTGGAGACGCTGACGCACAAGCCGAGGGAGCGAGCGACACGAACGAGTCCCTCGCAAACCGCTGGGTAGACGGTCTTTACAGTTGCACTCTGCTCGCGATCGTTGAGCTCGACCTGCCCTTGAGAGTCGATCAAACCTGCTAGGAAATGCTCCCTAACTTCGAAAGACTCGGAAGAAAGCCAGAGCGGGACCATTTTGAGCTGGTCATCGGAGGAACCACGGACACCAGTGGCTAGAACCATGTCCCAGAAGACATTGTTGGTGTTCAGTCCCTTGGTCGAGCTGGTATTCATGCCTTTACCTCGAAGCTCGACAGCTAGGTCATCGCCCTCGTGAAAGTTGAATCCGAGATTCTTAGCAACTTCAAGTGCAGCGGAGATAGAGTTGGCCGGTCGAGAATGATTGACATTGATTTCACCCAAAACCGTTCTTTTGCCAGGGGCGAAGGTGACCAGTTCAGACTCCAAGTCAAACATCTTGCCGTACTCTTCGAGGCGGTCAACTAACTCTGCGTCTTCTGGATCGACCGACATCCTCGAATCTGCGTGATGGCCATTCCCGACCCAGGATCCAAGAAGATAGGCCATCTGAGGGGCGAGATGGCCATCGAAGCCCTTCTGGGCAAGGCGGGAGTTGAGCGTCTCGTTTTGGAGGAAGACGGGGGAGATGAGCTGCTGGGTCGCCTCGCGGACATGAACATCGACGTAATCAATGTCGCGCGCTTCGATAGCCCAGTGGAAATCATCGCGTGGTATACTGGCAGCAAAGTCCTCAGCGAGGCTGCGAGCCCTTTCGCTGCCGCCATGAGAGTCGTGTTGGAAGGACTTCGTGTATTGCTTCAATTCGCGGACGACATTGACGCCATCTTCAGTAGCTGCTTGGCGAGTATCAAAAGCAAAGAAGGACACACTGGATTGCATCTTGCCTTCGAGGTGATGATCGACGATGTTGACACGTTGGGGAGTCTGAAGGACCAAAAGATGCATGGCGTTGCAGGTATACGAGACTTCTCGGAATGTCTCGTTCTGATGCTGTGTCTTGATACCGATTTCGTACATGGTCTCCTCACCTCGGGGAAGAGCTTTGATGACGCGAGCTTTACCATCCTTTCCCATTACAGAATCGCCGACAGTGATGTCTTCGATGTTCATGTTAGTCCCATCAGCCATCATGACAGGCGTGCCAGCAGCGAAACAACTGTGAATTTTCGTCAGTAGATGTATCCCTCAAAGGAAGAGAGCAACTTACCCAACATAGACGATGATATCACTGTTGGAGAATTTGGAAACGGACTGGGAAATGACAGTTTTACCGCAGCCAAATGCACCAGGAATGCACACAGTGCCTCCTTGGACTGAAGGGAAGAGGGCGTCGAGGACTCGTTGCCCGACAATGAAAGGCGAATCGGCCTGTAGACGTTCGTTGACAGGTCGAGGAACCCGGACGGGCCATGAGTGCATCATTGGGTATTCTTTGGTCTCGCCATTGAACTCGACCGTAAGCAGAGGCTCGTCGACAGTGTAGTCACCCTTAGGGGCAATCTTCTTGATTGTGCCTCTGGCCCTTGGGGGTAAGAGAATTCTGTGTTCGTTGACCAGACTGTTCTCAACCACTTTACCCCAGACATCACCACCACTGATATGATCTCCTTCCTTCATGGTGGGGGTGAAGGGCCATTTTTTCTCTCTATCCAGAGAAGGAACGGAAATGCCGCGGGGGATGTAGATGCTGTTTGTATTGCCAGCAATGGTCTTGAGCGGTCTCTGGATTCCGTCGTAGATTGTTTCCATGAGACCAGGGCCGAGCTCGACGGATAAAGGTTTGCCAGTTCGCAGGACAGGATCTCCAACGGTGACACCAGCTATAGCACAGTCAATGAAGGGCACCAGAGTCAGTTGGGACGGGCGCTGACATACCAGTCTCCTCGTAGACCTGAATCGTCGCCTTGTCGGCCTCTATGCGAATGACTTCGCCCACCAGTGCATCATGGCCGACCTTACAGAGCTCGTACATGGCGACCCCGATCATGTTCTCGGCGACAATGACCGGACCAGAGACGGAAAAGACAGTTCCATTCTGGTGGTCATCGCCGATACCACTCTCCTTTGAAGCGGGCATCCTTCTGTATGTGCGAGCAGTTGTGTGTAGGGTCTGGAGTGGTTGTGGAAAGGCAAAGATGGAAGAGCTGTTGTCGGAGCTGGGACCCGCAAGCTCTCCCTCGTCTAAATCGTCCTCGATAAGATCGGGGAGGCCAAGCTGCAGGTGAAGGTACTTAAGATCCGATACAGTAGCAAGGTCGTCAATACTCTTGCCAGTTATAAATTCAATCACCGACTTTTTACGTTTGAGGCGAGGGCGACCAAATCCAAGCATATGAAATCATCTTCTGCGGGAAGCTGTTTAGGTGCACTTTTGAATTTCGGGGGGTCGGGGTAGGCTGCTGCGAATAAGTTGCAGGCACACCTGGTGAGTTGCGCTTCAAAGTTTCGCCGACGCTGGGAATGTAGTAGTGAAGATACTGTCTTGGAAGCATTCCTTGGTTGCGGAGGAAGATGACCTATCTACTGACGACCTGTATATACCTGGTACACTTCGATATCCCACCGACACTCGCCGAAGATGTCTGTGATTGACTCTCGCATAGGACCTTGATACCTGATCTCTCGCTTTCGAATCTGACCCAATGCCCCGTCATATTGGCCGAGGCTTCCCCTGCAGCTGCCAGCTCCCAGCTCCAACCAATGACCCCAACCCCACCCACAGCAGCGTCTGCCAGCCTTGAACGCTGCTGCCAACGCCGGGCACCACATCAACCTGGCGGAGTTGCCACATGGCAAAATATCAATCATCGTGGAGGGTTGTCTGCGGACTCGTTAAGAGGCAAGAAGGGGCCCAATTTGTTTGCGCGCAGGACAGGGAACCATGGTTCCTAGAATGTGAACGCAGCGTCTTATCTTGGTGCATCATGTTGTCAGGCTCCAAAGCTTGAAAGGAAGGGGAACGAACGTGGGATGGTGTGAAACCGGCCTGGCAGGTGCAGGTAAGTAGTTTGGGTGCTGGAATGGTTGGTCACCAGTGTCGGTGTTAACGAGTGACCTTGGAAGAGTAGATCAGGTGGTTCACATAGTCTAGGTGCGGTGGGCTGCCTGGGCACCTGGGCCAGGTGAGGAGAGCTTGAGAGCCTAGAAACACTGGCCAAAGGGCTACCTGCTACCTGCGCAGTAGGGTGGATTACTTATATTAGTTTCGCCGCTCAGTGGGTGCCCAGTTATAGTTTAGTTGGAGATACGCTGCTGCTGCGGGCAGGCAAGGCAGGCTACTGGCTCCGACATCAACCCGTCCCCATCTCGTCATCTACTCCCTCTTGAGTTGAGACCATGAGTATTCCCACTCACTACGACTCCTCTAACATCCGCCCTGACAATTCCTGATCCTGATATCTCTCCACGACCTCATCTCTCTTCATCAGTCGGCAAAGTTGTTACCCCAAACCCGTGATCCGTCTTGGTCGAGCCACGCTATCGACTTGCGGCGTCGTCTCTGACTTGACATCCACTGGGCCAATTCCCTGAACGTCAACCACTGCGGTTGTGACCTCTCTGCCTGTCTGCGAGAGTCTTTGCATGTGCCATTGAATGAAATAGCATACAATTTCCTCCGGACGTTCACAGAGCCGCTCACCGCCTCTACTTGCACGGACAGGTATTTGGATACAACTGCTTGCCTTCATTTCCTCATCGAAGGAGCCCCCGCGGTGATATTGGCGGCTTTGCCGCCACCACGAGCTGGCAAACCAACCTTTAACCAACTATAACCTAATCACTACCGACGACCCATCCACCTCGACTCACCCCGTATACTCTTCCTTCACAGATTCTACTTCCCCCAACCCCAACACAACCACAATTGACGAAGCCTCCAATCCTACTGGAGACCCGCTTTCGACCAACTCAGAAACCCCCACGGCAAGCCAACCACCTATAGAGCAGGTACAGGCTTCTCAAGAGCTGGGGAGACGCAGGAGAAGGCGGTCATCGTTTGAAAGATCCGCTGAAGCCGATAACAACCAAGGAGGACCTGGTCAGACATCGGGAGAAACGTCTCAAGAGCCTCGATCCGGAGGCGAACATAGGCCGAAGCGCAGGCGAACCGAGAGATCCAATATGAGAGTCAGTGAAGACTCGGAACAAGTATTTTCCAATGGCCATTCCACAAGTTCCAACGGTTCTACTCCAAGGAAGCCCTTCCACTCCGGTCTGAACGGGCATGTGAACGGATCTAGCCCTTCATACGCAAATGGAACCTCCAAAAAACTGGCTCCCGTTAGGTCGGCCACATATCGAGGTCACAACAGGGAAGAGGTGGTCAGAATTCTGATCCAGGGCTTGCTAGATATGGGATATTCGGACGCTGCCAATGTCTTATCCAGTGAGAGTGGATATGAGCTCGAAAGCCCTTCAGTAGCTGCCTTCCGACAAGCTATCTTGGAAGGCATATGGTCCGAGGCAGAAGCCATACTATTAGGATCGCATCAGACCGACCGGGGTGGACCCCTTCTGGATGACGAACAATATGGAGATGGACTCGTCCTCGCGGAAGGCGCCGATAGAGGGCAGATGCTGTTCTGGATCCGGCAGCAGAAATTTCTCGAGCTACTCGATCGACGCGACCTGGGCATGGCTCTCATGGTTCTAAGACAAGAGCTGACACCCCTCGAACACGATATCCACCAATTACATGCCCTTTCAACATTACTTATGTGTCCGCCTGAAGATCTCAGAACCAAGGCGCACTGGTCAGGTACAGTGGACGAGTCAAGACAGATGCTGCTGCAGGACCTATCTCGGTCAATCGCACCCTCAGTCATGATTCGAGATCATAGGCTAGCGGAGCTCTTTGACCATATAAAGCAGAGCCAGATTAACCAATGTCTTTACCACAACACCGCGGAACCTCCATCGCTGTACTCGGACCATATCTGTGACCGTGAGGACTTCCCATCGCGGACGTTTCTCCAACTCGAGGATCACACCGGTGAGGTTTGGCATGTGCAATTCTCTCACGATGGTACGAAATTGGCTACGGCAAGCCAGGACCAAACCGTCAACATTTATGAAACAGTGACGTTCAAACGGCTTCACGCCCTCACTCATCATTCGGCGGGGGTTACATACGTGTCTTGGAGCCCAGACGACACCAAAATCATCACTTGCTCGCAGGATTGCAAAGCCCGTGTCTACGATGTCGAAACAGGAAGACTCGAGGTGACCCTTGAGCATCAAAGCGTAGAACATAACTACGGCATCACCGCCGCTGCGTGGTGTCCCGACTCCCAAGGCTTTGTCACTGCAAGTCACGACCGTAACTCGCAGCTGTGTTATTGGAACCTCCGAGGCTCGAAGCGCGAGAAACCGGAGCACGTCTGGCCCAAGGGCTTCCGCGTGCAAGATGTGGCCATCACCGAGGATGGGAATTGGCTAGTTGCGCTTGACCTTCAGAATATTATCCGCGTCTTCGACATGCACACTTATCGAGAAGAGCCACCCATTAAGGTACTGAGCAGGACGACAAGCATTACTCTAAGTCGCGATGGCCGCACGGTTCTGGTCAACCTGGTCCTTGGTGAAGTCCATATGATTGACTTGGTCACGAGAGACACCATTCGCAAGTTCCGCGGTCAGAAACAGGGCGAGTTTGTGATCCGGAGCTGCTTTGGGGGAGCTGCAGAGAATTTTGTGGTTAGTGGTTCAGAAGGTGAGTACTTTTGCCATCCGTGTTAAGGATTTACTGACTGAGGGATCAGATGGCTTGATCTACGTGTGGCACAAGGAGAACGAATCGCTAATCGAGAAGCTGCCTGGGCATGGTCGAGGTCAAAGTGGTAAGGAGTGCGTGACGACGGTGGACTGGAACCCCAGAGATGCCGGCATGTTTGCGTCTGGGGGGGATGACCGCAAAGTGCGAATGTCAGTTTCTAAAGCTCCCTGATTGGGCTGCCAGTGCTAACAGCATACAGATGGACAAATTTGCGCTCGCCCATTGAGGGCCTTCCGAGCAGTTTGAACAGGTCTCTTGCTCGCCACGACTCAGAACGCACTAGCGCCCTGAGGTCAACACTTTGATGCCCGGCATATCAAGTTTCTAAATGGAGTTGGCGGCATTTGACAGAGGACCACATGGACTATGTTTATGGTAACGAGGGACGACTTGCACAGATATAGAGAGTTTGGATACAGCATTGCATTTGGGGGTGTCTGACAGTGTGGTTTGTGTTTGAACCAAAACAAGAGCAAGTCTCCGCCTGACAGCCACAGGCACAGGCTCGGGCATTGGGATGTTCATTTCCACCAGCAGCATCAATGCATTCAACAGAGAATGAAACTTGGATGCGTAGGTGGGAGTGAAAGGAGCATGATGGGATTCCGCCGTCAGCGGCATGTCTGATCGAAGTCTACTTAGATATAGCTACATCACCCTATCTTTACCAGGACCTAAAGCCTACTACCCTGCTCAATACTATGAAATGATAAAGGCACTTGTGAGCGTGTCAGGCATTGGGTGGAAAGGACTGAATGATGCGAGATGAGTGGTCCGGGACAATGTATACATGTCAGTCACGAGACCCCAGGCAACCTGGCTTTCCTGCTCATATCTCAGATCTCCAGCACCGTGATGGAACCCTCTTGCGGTTATACCCAGTCAGCGGCAATAGGGGCGCAATTCATGGTCATCTTCGAGAAAGTTCTTGTAGAGGGGGTTTCGTCTCGCATTTGCCGCCACACGGTGATAGAGATTGAATGGTGCCTAGCCATACCGCCACCACCCTGACAACGCTTGGTGCTGTTAGTTTCAGCCCTCCCGGAAACCTGTCGCGTCATACATACACAATAGCGAGGATACCACCCCTTCTGGAGGTCACCAAAGGTGTTGGATTGAAGGTTGCCTGCTGAATGTCGCCTGCGACGCGCAACCTTCCGTTTCTATTTGGCCGCCAAGAACAACCGAGTCGTCGGGCAGCTGCGAGCCCAGCAGGAGTTGCACCCACCGTGACTTCAGCCCCCAAAGACACAGACGCAGACGCAGGTGCAGGCGCAGGTGCATCACCACTGACGCTTTCGTCCCAAGATTTGGCCAACATCCACAACATCGATATCACTCCCCATCATACTCACTCTCGCCCTGCGCGCAGATCCCTCGACCTCGCTCTTCAAACTTCTGCCAGAACCAGCATCGAATCCACCCGCTCCGATTTACTTCAAGATCCTCTTCCGCTGACCTTTGGTCCAACCATGGCGGCAGCACCGGGGGGCTATTCGTGCGTTTCCCGCAGCAAATGTCAACAAATTCATGAAACCGTGGTCCTTCTGACAATTTCTACAGGATTAACGTGAACGACCCAACCCTCATTTCTCTGGTCAACAAACTACAAGATGTCTTCACAACTGTTGGGGTATGCCGTCCACCAATGCCCTGTTCCAAGTCGCCAGCTGTTCTGTCCACCCAATCTGACCGTCTTTCTCCCAGGTCCAAAATCCCATTGATCTACCTCAGATTGTCGTTGTAGGTTCGCAATCCAGCGGCAAAAGCTCAGTCCTCGAGAACATAGTGGGAAGAGACTTGTAAGCGCGTCCTCTTGACTTGGTATTCCACCCTCCCAGATATCCACTGACTCCTACCCCAGTCTTCCTCGAGGTTCCGGAATCGTGACTCGTCGACCTCTCGTCCTACAATTGATCAACAGACCAGCCCCGGCCAAACTCCAAACCAATGGCGTCACCGAGGAGGACATGAAGAAGACTACCGACAGTCAAGCCAACGTGGACGAGTGGGGAGAGTTTCTCCATCTACCCGGTCAGAAGTTTCATGATTTTAACAAGATTCGGGATGAGATTGTCAAGGAGACAGAGGCAAAGGCAGGCCGAAATGTTGGCATTTCACCACAGCCCATCAACTTGCGGATATACTCGCCTAACGTACTCACTCTCACATTGGTCGACTTGCCTGGCCTGACAAAGGTGCCCGTGGGGGATCAACCAAGAGATATCGAGAAGCAGATCAAGGAGATGGTGCTCAAGCAAATACAAAAGCCCAACGCCATCATTTTAGCAGTCACGGCAGCAAACGTTGATTTGGCAAATTCGGACGGTCTCAAACTTGCTCGAGAAGTCGACCCTGAAGGCCAGAGAACGATCGGTGTTCTAACCAAGATTGATCTCATGGACTCTGGTACCGACGTGGTCGATATTCTTGCTGGTCGAATCATTCCACTGAGGCTGGGCTATGTCCCTGTCGTCAACCGCGGCCAACGCGACATTGAGAACAAGAAGCGGATAGATTTGGCCTTGAAAGCGGAAAAGGAGTTTTTTGAGAACCATCCATCTTACCGGAACAAGGCTTCATACTGTGGCACTCCGTATCTGGCCAGAAAGCTGAACCTCATCCTCATGATGCATATCAAGCAGACACTACCGGACATCAAGACCCGCATTGCGACATCGCTGCAGAAATACAGCCAGGAATTGGAGCAACTGGGTGCTGGCGACTTGCTTGGGAACAACAGCTCAAACATCATTCTCAACATCATTACCGAATTTGCCAACGAATACCGAACAGTTCTAGACGGAAACAGTGCCGAACTGTCAAGCAACGAACTTTCAGGAGGTGCGAGAATATCATTTGTTTATCACGAGCTGTACTCGAATGGGATAAAGGCGATCGATCCGTTCGACCAGGTCAAGGATATTGATATTCGAACTATTCTTTACAACTCGTCTGGATCATCCCCAGCTCTCTTCGTTGGCACCACTGCTTTTGAGCTCATTGTGAAGCAACAAATTCGACGGCTTGAGGAACCGTCTCTGAAATGTGTCTCCTTGGTGTATGACGAGCTGGTTCGTATCCTCAGTCAACTACTGCAGAAGCAATTATTCCGAAGATATCCTCAACTCAAAGAGAAATTCCACGGCGTCGTCATCTCCTTTTTCCGGAAATCCATGGAGCCAACAAACAAGTTAGTCAAGGACTTGGTTGCAATGGAAGCTTGCTATATCAACACCGGTCATCCCGACTTTCTCAACGGCCATCGTGCGATGGCCATCGTGAATGACAGACACAATGCCAACAAGCCGACACAAGTCGATCCCAAAACAGGCAAACCCCTGCCGCCACAGGTGCCACCTCGGGCAGCGTCACCCAGCTTGCCTACTGATGGCTCGGATCAAAACTCAGGTTTCTTTGGGTCATTCTTCGCCAGTAAGAATAAGAAGAAGATGGCAGCCATGGAACCACCTCCGGCCACGCTCAAAGCCAGTGGAACATTATCCGAGCGGGAGAATCAAGAAGTGGAGGTCATCAAGTTGTTGATCAACAGTTATTTTAATATCGTTCGAAGGACGATGATCGACATGGTGCCGAAAGCAATCATGCTTACACTCGTCCAGTAAGTGCCCCAGCATCTGTGCATTGATTCCGACTACTGACCAATAACAAGGTTCACCAAAGACGAAATGCAACGTGAATTGCTTGAGCAACTCTATAGAGCGCAGGAACTCGACGACCTCCTCAAGGAGAGCGATTACACTATCAGACGACGCAAGGAGTGTCTACAAATGGTGGAAAGTCTGAGCAAAGCCAGCGAAATTGTCAGCCAAGTGCAATAGAGTGGCCAGTGACGGCAGGCAGCTCCCTCCGGCAGCATCCCAGTCTTCGGAACAACCCGCAAATCGAAGTCTGTCTCTCTGGTAGGTATGTGCTTGGAAACAAGGCCACCCGACAAGCTGTGAAAATGCCGGAAGAGAGGCTGCTGCAACGACATACGACGCAGACGCAATGGCAGCACGGGCGGCAACCTTTCCATTCGGTCTTTTGAACCGTATTACCATGCGGTCAGATTAACAGCAATGATACCACAACCCCTTCGGACCTCATTTTTGGAGCGATTTGGATTTGGCACAGAAGTTTAGATTAGAATGCGACATGATGAACACTCTACGAGATTGACATCAGTGAAGGCACCAAGGTTGGGTGTTGTCGGCCGCAACAGATGAGACAGGTCGCCATTAATGGGAATGGATGGCAAGCGAGTAAGATTGGAGTCCATGTAGGGTCTCGCCAGCTGGGCGTTATAGGATACAGATGGACTGCCTATGGCGAGAATGACATTCATCGAGGTTTCGATTTCCATCTGAACAAGTTCGACTCGCGCCTCAGCCTTGTGCTCGACGCGTTGGGGATCTGCGTCATGGCTTGGCGAGGCAAGGCTGACTTTCTCGTACTTCCTTCACATCCATCCTTGACTTCGTGACATAGACAAAATGTGAAGGTGGAGAGCACTGAGAATGTTGCCTTGACCAATTAGTTGCACATAACTTATTTTTCTGACAAAGATCGATTTCCCAATGCCAGATCGATGGTGGCCAAGAGCGTGATTGCGTCTTGTTCTTGAACCCAAGCCCCAATATCTCGGCCTACGGTCCGTGAAGACAGTAGACTGCTGTGACGGGACAACCTACGGCGGCGGCCATGACTGGACGGTACATTCCTCCCGCCCTACGAGCGAGAGGTGATCAGCAGGTTGGTGAGGCCAGCACCCGCGATAGAGACACCGGCTCCACGCTGCCGCCCTCTGGCCCGCGTGGAGGGTATTACAGTCGACCACTGACGAGCAGATCGGATGCTATTCTGGACGGCGACGACCTCTGCTCTCCAAAGGAGATTGACCGCCATTTCTGGCCAGTCCGGGAGTACGAGGATCCCGGGACCAGACAGAAGACGTTGCATGATTCCGCTGCCACGCCCGGGGTGGTGAGCTACGTGCTGCTGTTCAAGGACGCGAATCCGCGATGGGACGAGGGTGGAATCATCTTTACGAAATCGAGTTTGGACTTGTTGCCTGCTGATCTTGCAGATAAGTCTAAGGAGAGAGGTGCTGCTGCTGCGGATGGGATTTGCGGTGAAGATGACAAGCTTTCTTCGACTTCTCAGGACGA